TTTGGCTAAGTATTTAAGGCATACACCATCTGAATAATTTGTACAGCAACTCTATAGAGTAGGTGTTAAGATTCCCATAAGAGTCTGAAGGTGTAAATCTTCCAAGTGAGTTCATAGCAGGAATTTTCTGGCTCAAATTTCCATAGAGATAGTTATTCATATCATGTTATTTGAAATCCAGGTTAACCATTTCAGAGTTTACAGGAGGAAACGACCTATAGATGGGTAGTCCTTGTCAATAACGTCATTTGCCAGCTGTTCAATCTGTTTTTAGAATAGCATACATTATGATTCCCATAAAGATCTGTAGGTAAGGACTGGAGAGGAGAGTTGGCCTGATTCCAGGGATATATCTGTGTGCATGGATTAACATGAAGCGCTCAGTACTATTAATAGTGGCTAACCTCACTCTCTGGTGTCTCTTTCACGATGTCACATAATAGCAGTTTGATACCACTTCGTCCATATCTGAATCCTGTGAAATGCTTGGATCGGTATAAATATATGGAATTCTCTGCCAGAGAGTTTCAGTGCCACAACAAACTACAAAGCCAAGGATTCCATAGACCAGGGACTGGCAACGTATGGCCCAGGGGCCGGTTAAGGCCCCAGTCCCAGCCGAAGGTTGCTGCTGCTGCCGCCGCACGTTTTTGGTGCTCTGTGGGCACGCTCGCTGCGAACGCCATTTTGGAAATCAAAATGGCAGTCGCGACACGTTTGTGCATGTGCAGTACTCTTGCATATGTGCAAATGCGTCGCAACCACCAATTTGATTCCCAAATGGCGGCTGCGACATGCGCTGTGGCGGCTGCGGCGGCCGCGTGCATGGGGGATCGAGCGCGGCGGTGGAGGGTGCGCGCGCCTGCACACCGCCATTTCTCCCCCCCCCTTGGCCCAGCCGAGACCTGGGCTACGGGAGACCGGCCTAGGTCTTAAAAAGGTTGCCTTCCCCTGCCATAGACTGTAATTATCTGACCCAAAATGTCCCATTCCTGTCCACTGTAGCTTGCTCATCCCAAGCACTGCAATGTTTATATGTTCCATTTCTTGTTTTACTATGCCTAGCTTCCCATATTCATGTTTCTCATATTCCATGTTCCTATAATATCAGCTGAATGTCCTTTCGACTTGAGTTCAGTTGCATCTTTAGCATCCAAAATGTTTCATAGGGATTTCATGGTAAAAGTCATTCAAAGCATGGTTTAACATGCCTCCTTTTGCACAGTCCTAACAAGTGTTAGCTATGGTACTACTGCTGTTGTCTCTGAGATATCCTCTGCCAATACCACCCACCATTACTACTGCCACCCCAAACAGTTTGGCACATTTAGTTTGACTCCTCAGCAAAAGCCTGTCTGACATGGGAAACTACTAGCAGCACTGCTGCCATCAGAATAGCCTCTTGCTTCACAGGAGTATGTAATTTCATTAATGTGGAAAAAGTAGTGCTATGGGGAGGAGTTCGCATATACTTTGTCGTTGCCCAAACAAATTAATGAAAGAAGATAATTCAATTTCTCTT